TTCTCCAGCAGGTACTGGCTGGGGCCTGCCAGCTGCAGAGGGTGGTGCTGGCCTTCCTGGTGCCCCTGGGCATCACCACCAGCTCCTGCGGGCCTTCCCTCAGGGGGCAGGATAGTCCGCTCCGGCTGCATCCTGGTGGCCTCCTCCTTCCTCTGCGGGTTCCCCAACCACATGACCACTCTCTGAAATGCCCTGGTGAAGTCTGACCGGGACAGCACTCTCTACACCTCCATCCCCACGTCTCCCTGTCACCATCTGCCTGGCACACGGCAACAGCTGCCTCACCCCTGTGCTGTGCCGTCTCCTGCAGCAGGAGGCCCCGCAGGCCCCCTCAGGGAGCTCTGAGCACGGCTGTGGCCCAGAACGGGGTGAAGCAGGTGGGTGGAGGGAGGCAGGCGGTGCGTGGACAGCGCCCCAGGAGAGTGGCCCCTCTACCTGCTCACCGACGTGGGCAAAGGAACAGCTGGGTGAAGGTACAGACTCCGCACCCTCTTTCTGGGCTCTGCCAGGGGCAGGATCGGTGCATCCCAGGGAGGGCTGGCCTGTCTGCCAGGCGGATGCCCTCGGGGAGTCTTACCTTCCATCCATTCTGGGTGTAGCGGCACGCAGGGGGCCCAGGCCCACGTCAGGGCTGGTGTGACGAAGCTTATGTCTCCACTGGGAGGCGGGGAAGAGGAGGATCTAAAAATAAACCCTGGATCATCCAGAAACGACCCTGACTCTTTATCCCAATTCCACCTTCAGTCCCGTGTGGATAAAAGCACTATTTGTCCTACTCCTGCCTCCTGTGAGAATTCCCAGGGAACATCCCTAAGGACTCTAGACTCACGGATCAGAAGCCAGTGCCTCATCTCTCCCCGCCTGTCCTTCCTGCTCTCCCTTGTCCTTCTCTGGTGCCAGGACCAAAAATGCCCTCCTCCCCTAGCCACCCCCATCTTCTCACCCTCAGCGGTGCCCACAGAAATTCCACGTCTGCAAAAGCCTCAGCTGCAAAAGCTGCAGTGCCCATGTGGGGAGGTGCCACCTGTGGGATCCCGCTGGGTCCCTGGCACCAGCCCACCCGTGTGTGTAAAACTCTGGTGTTGGTGGGAGTCCCTGTGTGCGTGTCCCCTTAAATCAGGACTTAGAGGAAGAAGTAAAGATGACAAGTCAAGGATGTGGGTGAGGCGCAGTGAGGCGAGGCAGGCAGGATGGGGGTGGGGGAGAGGCTGAGGGTGCGGCTGGAGGGGAGAGCATGGGCTGTGGGTGCTTTTTCCTCCCTCCCCCAGAGGCTTCCCTCAAAAGCCCCGGATTCACATCCTAGCTCCGAGGGAACTGGTAAGCTCTTTTCTTCCTCTGGGCCCGTTTTCTCTCCTGTAAAATGGCTGCCACCTGATTGTTAGCTATTCTTTTTTATTTTTTTAAAAGAGCTTGTGACTTTTTTATTTTTTAAAATATATTTTATTGATTTTTTTACAGAGAGGAAGGGAGAGCGCGAGCTAGAAACATCGATGAGAAACACATCGATCAGCTGCCTCCTGCACACCCCCCACTGGGGATGTGCCTGCAACCAAGGTACATGCCCTTGACCGGAATCGAACCCGGGACCTTTCAGTCCGCAGGCTGACGCTCTATCCAGAGCCAAACCGGTTTTGGCTGTTAGCTATTCTTACACTCCGTGTAAAATGGAGTCAGAGAAGGAAAAGGAAACAATGAGGAGTAGCTGGCAGATGGGGCTAGAGGGCCACAGAGGTCTAACCTGGGATGATTTTTAAGGCTCTGCAGTAAAATGAAAATTAAGAACTGAATGAGGGGCTGGCTCCTCAAGGCCCTCTTGAAGGTGTGGTCTTTGGGGCAGGGGGTTCCCCTTTGGTTCCAGAGCCAGAGACCCGAGACCAGCAATGATAAAGTTCAGTCACAAGGGACTTTCTGGGGGGCAGCCCGAGAAGGGAGGTGGCAGAAAGATGGGGTGGGGCTCCCATTCCCATTCCCCCGCCCCCAGCGCTGGCATGTCTTGCAACCCTCTCTAGCCACTCCAGGTCCCACAACAGCAAGGAGCAGCACCCGTGTGTGGGGCCCCCCTGGCGAGGGCACCCCAGGGCCCACAGGCACCCTGCACCAGCTCCATCCGGTTGCTGAGGCTGTAAACAACCACCCAATTCACCACATATTAAGCAATATTGAATAATTCGCCTCCTGATGTTTAATTTCCTCTTTTTAATAATGTTTAAACCGGTTCCAAAACTCCAGGTCTGTTCCCAGCCGATTCAGGATGGGAAATCCTTACATACCTAAGTGCCCTTCTGCCACCCCACTCCTCAGCTCCTCCACTGACCCCACCTCTGCTGGCTCTGGATACTGGCCTCTGCTTTATGGGGCCCAGGGGCAAATATTGACAAAGTTTAAACAGGTCCAATCCACCCTTAGAAGGGGTGGGGAGGCAGAGGAGGGCACAGCAATGGAGGCTGGCTGGGCGGCTCCTCTCGAATAGAAAGGCATGGTTTTGGCAAACAGCTGGGCCCTGCCTCCTTATAGCACCAACACAGAGAGCTTTGGAATTGGGGGAGACAGTTAAAATGAAGTTTCCCAAAAATGGGGCAACAGGACCTCTTGTTTCTAAGAACGAGGGGGTTTTGGCCAGGGGGGGTCACAGTTGGGCCAGCGCTGCCAGGAATAGAGCTTTGGGCTTCACACTCTGGGCCTGCCCAGCATCCTCCCCTGGGTCGCTGTGAACATGTGGGAGGAGCCCGTGTTCCCTTCGCTGGTCTTTGGATACAACCTAACAGCCTCCTCCCACCCAGCCCTAGCCTTCCTCCCTCCTCTCCACCTTTTTACAGCCTGGGGCCCAGCTGACACAACAGAGGGCTGCTGAGGCCTGCGTCAGTTTGAAACCCGGAGCTGCGGTATGTTTAGGCAGTGGTGGAGGGGAAGTGGAGGCCTGCAGCTGGGCCTGCTGAGATGACAGCCATTCCTGCTGCAGACTCCGTGATGGATGAGCAGGTACCTTGTAGATGAGAATCACGGGAGCGGAGGGTGCTGGCTGCTCCTCCAGGCCCGCCCCATCATGGGGTTCCAATTCCTCTTTCTGGCCGGGGTCTTGAGGCCCCCTCTTCTCACCTCACCCCATCGGTGCACATGGTGCACATGTCTCCTTCGGACATCTGTGCACTTACTGCAGCATTTCTACGACTCCAGACTCTCCTCCCCCCGAAAGCCCCCAGCAGGGTATTATCCGGAAACAGGAAGTAAAATTAATCAAAACGAGAACCGATGCCGAAACCAGCTTGGCTTGGTGGATAGAGCATCGGCCTGCAGACTGGAGGGCAGGTTCCATTCTGGTCAGAGGAGAGTGCCTTGGTTACGGGCACATCCCCAGTGGGAGGTGTGCAGGAGGCAGCTGATCGATGTTTCTCTTTTATCTCTCCCCCCCGCCCTTCCTCTCTGTAAAAAATCCATTTTTTTTTTTTTTAAAAAGAGAACTGAAATGAACATGATCTCCCACTGCCTCTGAGAGCCAAGGAGAGCTCCTCTGAGGACCACCACCTGGAAGAGGGTGCCCAGGGCTCCGACACCGTGAAGGGGACAGCATGGTGACTGAGCCTGAAAGCAGGTGACACTGCAGAGGGGCTCAGGGGAATTGAGTCCAGAGGGAAGGGAGGGGCCTGAGGCCGATGCCCTTTCTGAGCACAGCATGCAAACGAGATGCAAACAAGGCTTCTAATATTGGAACCTCCAGTCCTCCTTTGTGAAAATCGATAATGGTAACAGGAAGGGGGGTAGCTGTTCCTTTTGTTAGGGAAAGGGCCCCGTCTTCAGTGAGGCCGCCCTGCCTTCTGGGGGGACAGGCCCCTTTCCGAGGGCCGCAGCCACTCCCTGGCTCTCCCCTCGGCTGCAGCAGCACCTCAGACGTCCAGAGACAGCACTGCGTGGGGTTCCAGGCTTTAATTTTCCTTTCTTTACCTTTCATCTTGTTTTTTTCCTTTTTTTTTTTTTTTTTTTTTTTTTACACAATCAAATTGGTAGAAAAATGGCTGGCGCTGGTGGGCGTTTGGGGGTCCATTGACCATCCCCCCCCAATTGAGGCGGAGGTGTCAGGTCACGGTCGGTGAGCTGGGGGATAAGGTCAGGGTTCATAGCGATTTCCCAACTCACCCTAGAACTTTATTTCCAAATGGCCGCGGAAGAGGTCAGACTAGTCCCCCCCGTGACTATGGGTGAGGGGTGACGTCACGGTTCCCACCTCCCCTCAAGTTCTTCAGCGACGTGGAGATAGGAGGCTAAAGTTCCTAATTGCCTACAATCTTCTCTTAAAAATATAAAACACGTGCAGTTGGCTTTGGTACAAAAAAAAAAAAAAAAAAAAAAAAAAAAAAAAAGCAAACAACAAAGACATTCTGGTCCCTGTGGGTTTTTGCCCTCCCCCCCAACAGACCATTATGGCCACCTCAACCTCTGCTCCATCCGCTCCAGGAAGCCAGGTTGACTCCCTGGGGTCCCCCGGAGGACGGAGAGGAGAGAGCTCAGCAGTGAGAGGTTGAGGGGAGGGGGATATGGCCTGCCCATAGCCCTTCTGAGAGGGGCAGTCGGGACCCGCAGCTGCAGCTGCTCCTCCAAGATGACGCTGCCTGGTTATTATGTCTGAATAAACCCCAGTAGTGTTCAAGGACAAGGCCCCTTGTTCCCTATGGCTTGGCTCCCATGTCCCTGGTCCTCTAAGTCCTATTTCTCCCTCCATAACTAATAAACAATAAATAAATAAACTTTTCCTAAAGTGGAGGGAAGAAGGCATGAAAAGTTGGCATCTGTGGTGTACTTCCGGATGCCACCAGGGGGCACTGTGGCCTAATCCCCCCCCCCCCCCCACAGCTTCCTCAACGGCCCCAGGTATCCAAGGATCCCAAGAGCTGGCAAGGACAATCAGCAGTTCAAGTGTCCCCTGGTCATTGGCAGGTTGGAGCCCCCAAGGTTTGCCCCCCTCGGTAATGTTCTTCAGGGGGCACAGGCAGGAGGGAAGGGCCCCCTTAGCTCTCCGGAGCTACCAGCTCCTCATCGCGGCTCTCCGTCTCCTCGGGTATGTCCTGCATCCTGGTGAAATCTAAAGGGGACAGGGCGAAGGCAGTGAGTGGACAGAGGCTCCCTGAGCACCCCTACCCTATTGCCTCCCCCCTCCACCCCCATCTGCGGGCTGAGAAGCTCTGAAGGCTGTGAGGGATGACCGAGGTCTGAGAATCCCTGGGGAGGGAAAAACCTCTGTCAACAAAGTAGGTGATGTGCTCACACCTTGGCAGGCAATGCTTTATATACTGGTAAGTATATGAAGATACAACTTGATTATTAAAGTAACAAAATGTTTTTTAAGATCGCTATATGAAGTTATAGTAGCTTTTGGTTATTTTGTGTTTCCTGAGCCGACTCTAAGAACTTGGAAGTCTGTGACTTTTTTTTTTTTTTTTAACTTAATAAAAAAAATCTCTTTCTAAAAATAAATAAATCGAACCCTAACCCTAGCCGGGTAGCTCAGTTGGTTAGAGCATCGTCCCAATATGCCAAAGTTGCTGGTTCAGTCCCCGGTCAGGGCACATACAAGAATCAACCGATGAATGCATAGATAAGTGGGTGTTTCCCTCTCTCTCTCTCCCCCTTCCTTTCTCTAATATCTATGTGTTTCTACTTGGAAAAAAGTTGGGAATCAAACGACTTACTAGAGAAGGAGTGGCCCCTACGTCCTTTGCTTCCTAGAGTTTCCCCACTCCTTCCCCATCAGACAAACAGGAAATCCTCGTGTCCTTCCCAAGAACTACCGCAGACCTCAGTGGTTAGTGCAGAGCCTTCCTACACGTTCCTGAGCTCCAGGACACAGACTCCGCTGGCAAAGCACACCCCCCCCCACTCCCCGCCTCCGCCAGGACCTACCTCGAGGACTGTGGGGCGGAGACAGGCGGCTGCTCCCTTCCTCCTCGCTGCCCGTGTCAGGGTCGCTACTGTCCTGTAGCCGCTCCTCGGGGCTGCCCAGCTCCTGCCCCTCTCGGTCCTCAAAGGGTCGGTGGACAGAGCGGACAGACACAGGCAAATCCAGGCAGTCATGGCCTCGACTGGTCTGTGGGCCGCGCGCAAGGAGAGCAGCAGGTCAGGGACCGAGGAGCGTGTGAAGACTGCAGACCCTGCTCAGCTCTGGGCCCCAAGACTCAGTTTCCCCAGCAGATCCACCACTGACTGACAAATTCCTGCACCCACCCCAAGGTCCAGCTCTCTAACGAGTCCTTCGAGTCTGCTGCCCAGTTTCATTTGGGCTCAAATCCCCAATTCCTGCCGAAACCGGTTTGGCTCAATGGATAAGAGCATCTGCCTGCGGACTGAAAGGTCCCAGGTTCGATTCCGGTCAAGGGCATGTATTATACATAGGTTGCAGGCACATCCCCGGTAGGGGGTGTGCATGAGGCAGCTGGTCGATGTTTCTCTCTCATCGATGTTTCTAGCTCTCTATCCCCCTCCCTTCCTTTCTGTAAAAAAAATCAATTATATGTATATATATAAATTTTTAAAATCCCCAATTCCTTCCAGGTTCTCCCTTGGACCCCGGTGTCCACCTCCGGCAGGTCACCACCCCGAGCTCCCTTACCTGCGGGGGGCTGAAGCTCAGGTACAGGGCGTCGCCTGCGGGCAGGCTCCGGCGCCGAGGGTCCAGGGGCCGGCGGGCCCAGGCGGCCTCCTGGGGGGCGGGGTCGGCCTGGCCCAGGGCAGCCAGCTGCCTGCGCGCCTCCTCCGCCTCCCGCTCCAGCAGCGCCCGCGCCTGCTCGCTCTCCCGCAGCCGGGCCTCCAGGCTGCCGGCCTCGGCCGCCCGCTCCTCTCCGAGGCGCCTGCAGCGCCGCAGCTCCTCCTGCAGCAGCGAGTGCTGCCGCTGCAGCAGCGCCAGCTCCGAGGCCTGCTTCTCGGGCGCCCCCGGGGCGGCCCCCGCGCGGCCGGCCTCCCCGTCCCGCGAGCTGGCTCGGGTCAGCTTCTCCCGCCGCTCCGGGCCCTCGGGGACGCGGGCTTCCATCAGCGTGTCCTGCTGGGCCACGGCCGCCTGGGGGCGACGGGACGGATGAGTTCATCAGGAGCCCCCGCTGCTTCCACCCCTCACCCGCATCCCTAGGAACCAGGCCGGGATTCCAGGAATGTTCCTTCTGCAGGGAGAAGGCTCAGAAAGGCCTATCGGGACCTGGCCAATACGGCTCGGCTGGATGAACATTGTCCCATGCCCCGAAGGGTCACCAGTTCGATTCCCAGCCAGGGCACATTCTCCGTTTGCAGGTTTGATTCCCCCGACCAGGGTGCATGTAGGAGGCAACCAATTGATGTTTCTCTTTCTCTCTCTCCCTTTCCCATCCTCTCTCTCTAAAATCAATAAAAACGTATTTAACTTAAAAAAAAAAAAAAAAAGAAAGAGCTGAAACCGGTTTGGCTCAGTGGATAAGAGCGTCGGCCTGCGGACTGAAAGGTCCAGGATTCGATTCTGGTCAAGGGCATGTGCCTTGGTTGCGGGCACATCCCCAGTAGGGGGTGTTCAGGAGGCAGCTGATCGATGACTCTCTCTCATCGATGTTTCTAACTCTCTATCCCTCTCTCTTCCTCTCTGTAAAAAAATCAATAAATTAAAAAAAAAAAAAAAAAGAAAGAAAGAAAGAAAGAAAGAAAGAAAGAAAGGCCTATCAGAATGCTCCGTCCCACCTGACTGGCAGTTCTGCGCTGGCTCCTCCCCTTCCCCTGTCCTGCCCCAGCCCCCCTCACCTGCAGGCCATGCAGAAGTCCATACAGATTGACCAGTCGCTGCAGCGCTTCCTGAGGACAGAGGGGAGAGGGGGGACAGGGCTTGAGCTTCCGAAAGGGAGAACTGCCGGGAAGTGAAGTGTGGGTGTGGGGACAGTAAAACTTAGGATCACTTTGAGGTACGGAACCCTCCCCGCCACCCTTCCCCAAACTGGGCTTCCGTTTCTCAAGACGAAGACTATCCTCCCTTCAGTCTCCTACGGCATCCACTCCCATCTCACCTCCTGGGGAGATCTCAGCTGATTTCCATTTCGATCCTGCAGAAACGGGCAACGAGAGGGGGTCAGCAGGCACCCAAGTCCCTGGTGCCTGTTCCCGACGGCTCCGCGTTAAGGATCTACAGGCCGGCTGTCCCTTTCCCATCCCCTAGCCACGTCCCGACATCTCCCGAGGACCCACCTTCTGGCTGGAGTCCGAGTCGGCTCTGCAGAGCTCGATCGCGCCATTGAAGGTTCTGGCCTCACCATCTGGTGAGGAGAAAAGGATGGGCTGAGCTCACTTCCCAGGACCCGGTGCCACCCCATTCTCTTTCATCCCCCCACCCCCATCCCACCACCTGGGTCCCCGCTGGCACTCACTGGCGGTGACTCCAGGACTCGTGTTCCCGCCGCTGTCTGCTTCCGGGGGCAGGCCTGGCTCCCGGGGCGCGAGCAGCTCCACGCCGGGCCCCACCAGCAGGTCTTTCAGGCCCTCCACTGCGGGAAAGGAGCAGAGGGGAGGGCAGAGGTCACACCGAGCCCTGCGAGGCATGGGAGGCGGTGCCCTCTGCCCAATACGCTCGGACTCCGCAGACACCTAGGCCAGTGGTCGGCAAACTCATTCGTTCACAGAGCCCAATATCAACCGTGCGATGATTGACATTTCGTTTGAGAGCCGAAAACTGACTTCTGCACATGGGCCAAGTTCCACTAGCTCTGTACGTGCGTGCCCGCACTGGTATTTTGTGGAAGAGCCACTCTCAAGAGGCCAAAGAGCCGCAGTTTGCCCACCACAGACCTAGGGGAATACCCTGCACACTCGAGTTCCCCCTCACACCATCGTGTAAGGAGGCCAAGTTCACGGAAGGAGCCAGAGCAGCGCAGGTGCCTGGAGGTGACAGGTGTCCGTCTCTCCCCGCCTCTCCCAGCACCGGCCCGCAGCGGGCACTCAGGGGGCCGACATCCCCTGTCTGCACCCATCCAGGTCTAGCTGTGTGCCCACCGCCAGTGACAGGGCGTGGACGAGTCTGGACTCGTCCCCGGGCGTGACCTCACCCTCACGGATGGCATCCTGCAGCAGCCGCTCGCCACGAGGGGACTCGAGGGACTCGGAGCGGAAAAGGCCCCTGGGCAGGGTGGGCAGGGGCACCCCACAGCTGCCGTTCTCTTCCACCTGGAAGTGGGTCATCTCGGCAAATAGCCCGACCTTCTCCTGCAGCAGCTCCACCAGCGCCCGGTCCTTCTGCTGCAGCTCCGCTGTGGACAAGGGACAGGTGAGCACAGGGCGGCTGAGAGGGCACCCAGGGCCCGCCGGGGAGGGCAGCCGGCCACCCCACAGGCAGCCGTATGGGTTATGGGCCAGACTTAATTTTGATTTGGGGCATGTATGAAAAAGAAAGAACTTTCCCCCTCAAAATGTTTGTACGTGTTCTTTCTTTTTTAAAAACAAAAGTGACAGCCCTGTCTGGGTAGCTCAGTTGGTTAGAGTGTAGTCCCGATACATCAAGGTTGTGGGTTCGATCCCTGGTCAGAGCACATATAAGAATCAATCAATGGCCTTAGCTGGTTTGGCTCAGTGGATAGAGTGCCGGACTGCTGATTAAAGGGTCCCAGGTTCGATTCCGGCCAAGGACATATGCTCTGGTTGTGGGCTCGATCCCTCCCAGTGTGTGTGTGTGTGTGTGGGGGGGGGGTGTGTGGAGGAGGCAGCTAATCAGTGATACTCTCTCATCATTGATGCTTCTATCTCTATCCCTTCCTCTGAAATAAAAAAAATTTAAAAAAAGAATTAATCAAAGCATGCATAAACAAGTTGATGTTTCTCTCGCTCTCTCCCCCCCTCTCTTTCAAATCAATAAATAAAGTAAAAATGGCTTGTGGTAGAGATTGAGGTTGCCCACCAGTTTTCACTCTCCCCACCTTCCTTTAGAGAATGTGTACAAGTTTCATCTGGGCGCATGCTACCCAGTTAGACTACATTTCCCAATTTGATTTGCAGCTAGACATTGCCATATGACTAAATTCTGGCCATTGGGTGCATCTTCCAGATCTGTCCTCAATAGAAATAGGACATATTGCTGACCAGTGTGGCATGGACCCATGAACCAGGAGGTCATAGTTTGGCTCCTGGTCAGGGCACATGCCCAGTTTGCAGGCTCGATCCCCATTAGGGGGCATGCAGGAGGCAGCCAGTTGATGATTCTCATAATTGATGTTTCTATCACTCTTTCCCTCTCTCTGTAATCAATGAAACCATAAAAAATAAAAAAAAAGAAAAGAAAAGAAAAGAAAAAAGAAACAGATATATGTCCTGGCTAGTGTGGCTCAGCTGATTAAACATCATCCCATGAACCACAATCTTGCTGGTGTGATTCCCAGTCAGGGCACATGCCCAGGTTGCAGGTATGATCCCCAGTTGGGCTGTAAGCAGGAGGGAACCAATTACTGTTTTTCTCTCAAATCAATAAATATTTTTAAAAATGGTTATAAACTCTCCTTGTTCCTTTACTCCTCCCTGCTGGCTGGGATACAGATACGCCCTAACTGAAATAAGACCCTATAGTAAAAAGTAAGTTATTGTCTCAACCCTGGTCTTCCTAGTTCCCCTTCCCAGAAGCAGCCATAATAACTGATCTCTTTTTGAGACATTACACGTGCACGCACACACACACACACACACACTATCCCCATTATTTTTACACTAACGGTAGCATTCACTTTACATTGTCTTAAACCTTGCTCCTTTCACTTAACAACAGGTGTTAGTTATGGGTCTACAGCAGCCCTCAGACAGCCACGAGATGCGGATAAATGATTTAACGCATTCTGTGGGGGGGACTTAGACTTACTCTTGATTCGCCGCAGGTAAGCCTCATCCTCTGTCTCAATCAGGGGGAAGTCCTCGCTGGATGGGCATCTGGAAAGGTAACAGGGCGGGTGGGGGTAAGGGAGGAAGCGAGGCTACACTCTCCCTCCTCTGCAAGAATATTCTGTGCTTCCTGGTATGATACACCAGCCGCATGCCCTGGCCTCCTTCACGCTTGACCCTCCTCCTCTCTCAGCACCGATCACCTGCATTCAGTGGGTGTATTTCCCTCCCCTAAGATCGACTGCTTTAAATCTAATGTGTGTCCAACAGAGGCTAAAGATTTGCTGCTTTAACCCAGTTGGTATGGTTCAGTGGTTGAGCGTCGACCTATGCACCAGGAGGTCATGGTTTGATTCCCGGTCAGAGCACATGCCCGGGTTGCAGGTTTGATTCCCAGTGTGGGCTGTGCAGGAAGTGGCCGATCAATATTTCTCTCTCGTCAACGTATCTATCTCTCTCCCTTCCCTCCTCTCTCTCTAAAAAAAAAAAAAAAAAAAAAAGATTTACTGCTGTAGCACACCAAACAATTTCCTTCTTGTCTCTCTTGGTTGGAGTTTGTTTATAAGACTGCTCCTCTTATCTCCAGTATCAATGCTTTCATTATCTTCTTTTTCCTTCCTTTTTAGAAAACAGAGGTAAAACCCAATCCAATCCAAATAACGGCCCACTGCCTGCAGACCACATGCTAAAGCAGTTGAAACTGGGGGGTCAGCCTGGCTGATATTCCACCACTTCACAGCTCAAAGCATTCCTTTGAGAAACGCATCAAGCTGTGTTTGACAGGTGATGGGGTTGTCGTCCTATACGAGAACATAAGATGACCTTCCCTGCCTTGCCTCCTCCCAGCCTCTGCCTCCACCTCTGAACCCTGGGTTCTGATCCCAGGGAACGCTGTGGCCGGGGCCCCAGAGCTGCAGGTGCCACGAGGCCACACACACACGCACACACTCACGCGCACACGTGCACACTCACATGCCCACACTCTGCTGAATGACACGGATCCAGGTGTTCCGATCGTCCCGGGATGCCGTGTGGACCTCATACATCTCCGGGGGCGTGTTCGAGCTGATCAGAAACATCCCTTTCTCCTGGTTGGCAATGTCCCGGACGATGAGCTTCTGCAGTGAGATCACCGCGGACTTGTCCTGCTGCCCGGGGAAAGGAAGGATTAAGCCTGGCAATCCCGACCTCCGGGCACCTGGATGGGCTTCGGCTCTTAGGGAATAAACAAAGTGAGGAAGAGTCCACAGGCAGCGCAGGCTCAGAGCCCTGGCTTTGGTGCCAGCCCAACAGGACCTAGAAGTACCTGTGACCCTGGACAATTTGATGAACTTCAAGCTTTACTTCCCTCATCGACAAAAAGGGAGCATTAATAAACCAAAGACCTGGTGTGCATATACATGGACACAAACAATAAAGGGGGTGAAGGCCTGGGGTGGGGAGTGGGAGCGGGCTGGAGGAGGTCAATGGGGGGGGAAAGGGAATATGTAATACCTTCAATCATAAAGATTTATATTAAAAGGGGGGGATTAATTGGCCTTCCTCCCAGGTGTAAAAGTGCCTGCACACAGTAACAACACCCGTTAGTTATTCCTATTCCTTCTTATTTTATTAATAGAGGCATGGTGCACGAAATTCGTGCATGGGGGGTGTCCCTCAGCCTGGCCTGCACTCTCTCACAATCTGGGACCGCCTCTCCCTAACCGCTTGCCTGCCTGCCTGATTGCCCTTAACTACTCTGCCTGCTGCCTGATTCCCTTAACCGCTCGCCTGCCTGCCTGATTGCCCCAACCACCTCTGCCTCAGTCCCTACACCTGGGACCCAGGTTTTCCTCCTCCAGCCAGCCGCAGGCCCTGGCTTTGTCATGAAGGCCATCCGGAAGACGTCCAGTCTAATTAGCATGTTACCCTTTCATTAGTGTAGACAGTAACTAGAGGCCCAGTGCATGAATTCATGCATGAGCGGGGCCCAGCCAGCCGCTGGCCTGGGGGAGGGGACACGGGCAGTTGGCCAGCCTGCCTGCTGGTCGAAGTCCTGGTTGAGGCGACAATGTGCATATCACCCTTTTATTACACAGGTTGGTTACAACCATGGCTATTTCAGGGTTCTTTCGGACTCAGGTAGCAAAGCAAAAAGGACCCGAAACACTAGTCTGTGCGGGCTGAGAAAGGAGGTGGAGGGGCTTACCAGCGTAGGAAAGACGTACTTCTGGTCCTTCTCTTGCAGAAACACTAGCACGTCCGTCATCAGCAGCATCAGCACATCTGGGGGGACCGAGGCGGGAGGCAGTCAGCAGGAGAGGGTCTCAGCAGCCGTTTCCTCTTCCCCGAGGATCAGGCTGGCCCCTCGGGTTACACCTCCTGCTCCCCCTCCTCCTTCCTCTCTTCCCTCTGGTTACTCCCTCGGCCCGTGCAGACCTCCTGCCTCCTCATTCTTACAGCTCAGACTGCGAGAGGGGAGAAATGTAGGTGCTATCTACCGGGCAAAACAGCTTCTTAGGCTAGAAGAGACCATCAGGGATTACCCCGCGTCTTTAAAGAAAAACCTCCATACCCAACGGATACAGGTTTTATTTTGTTTTGTTTTTAAAATATATTTTTATTGATTTCAGAGTGGAAGGAAAAGAGAGAGAGAGAGAGAATCAATCATCAATGATGAAAATCATTGATCAGCTGCCTCCTGCACAACTCACACTGGGGAATCAAGCCCGCAATCCAAGCTGGGGATGTGCCCTGATGTTCCACCACTGACCCACACTGGCCAGGCTATGCAGTCCACAGACCCCTACAATGTCCCCTGCTGGGCTCCAGAGGCTCTGCAAACCGTCTGAAGTTGCACAAGCAGCTTTGCATACGAATATAACGTGTTTTTTGGGTGAGAGGGTCGGATTCCCAGAGCAGGAGGGGGCCACCCTTTTCAACCTTCCAGCTCTCGGTCTAACACTTAACAGCACCTGACCTTTGAAACGCTGGACCTAAATTCCCCGGCCCACATATTCCCACTTCTCATTTTGTGCTGGGCAGGCAGGGGGAACGTTGGGTTCCTTACCCATCTCTCTCACAGTGAGCAATGCCATCTCCTTCCACTCCAGCAGCACCCTCCCCCTTCACGCCTCTCCTCGGCCCCACCTCCCAGGCCCTCGGATCCTATGAAGTCCGGCGCTTTAAGACGGCAGCGGGGACAAAGGGCAAGTCCATAAAAGGCTGAGGTCATGGTCTCGAAAGCACACACTAGCCGGGCCAGCGTGGCTCAGTGGTTGAGCATCGACCTATGAATCAGGAGGTCAGGGTTCGATTCCTGGTCAGGGCACAGGCCTGAGTTTCAGGCTCCAGAAGGGGGCGTGCAGGAGGAAGCCGATCAATGATTCTCTTTCATCATTGATGTTTCTCTTTCTCTTTCTCTTTCTCTCTCTCTGTCTCTGTCTCTCTCTTCCTTTGGCTCAATGGATAGAGCGTCAGCCTGCAGACTGAAAGGTCCCGTGTTCGATTCCGGTCAAGGGCATGTATAATACCTTGGTTGCGGGCACATCCCCAGTGGGGGGTGTGCAAGAGGCAGCTGATCGATGATTCTCTCTCATCGATGTTTCTAGCTCTCTATCCCTCTCTCTTCCTCTCTGTAAAAAACCAATAAAATATATTTTTAAAAAAAGAAAAGAAATGAGTAAACACTGATAAAGTCCCTGATTGGCCCATAAAGTTAACTCCAGAATGCAGACTTGCGCTGCCCCCGAGACCGTGCTTATCCTCCCACCGGGTCCCACGCTGGCGTCACGCTGCAGAGAGGGGTGAGGACGAATGCTCCGCCCTCCCAGCCTGAGCCGGCCTGCGGGCGCCCCTGACCTTTGAAGCGGCCGGTGTTGGTGTTCTTCCAGAGCAGGCAGCCGTCGTGGATGAGCTTGCGCCGCAGGAGCTCCTCCCGGCCGAAGGGGCCCTTGCCGGGCACCGGCGTCTGGACCCGGGGGTCCATGCGGCTGTAGATCTCCTGCAGGCGAGCCCCCTTCTCCAGCTCGTGCACGTCCTGGTCCACGTTGGACAGTAGCTCCTTCACCATCCCCAGCGCCGTGGTCAGGTCCTTGTGCTCCTCCTCCATCCCTGGCCCCGGGGCGGCACGAGGGGCGGCTCAGCGAGCTTCGCCGCCGCCTCAGCGCCCTTCGGGTCGTGACCCCGCCTTCGGAGGCTGCCCGGGGGGTCCACCTCTGACTCTCCCCCTTCCCTGGGTCACCCCAGGCCTTCTGTTACCCCAGACGGCCCGCCCCCTCTCGTCCCTCCCCGCCGCCGGCCCCTCACCGTGGGAATGCTGCAGGATCCGGCTGATGAGCACCGGGTACTTGGTGATGCGCTGGGTCACCAGCAGGATGCACTCCTGCACCCCGTGCCGCTTCAGCACGGCCAGGCGGGTCACCTTCTGCAAGGACAGAGGAGGACTCAGGGCGGGAGTGGGGGTGGGGGGGGAGGGCGGCACGGAGAACGCTGGGCTCCGAACCCGCGCTCCGTGCTGGCACAGCTCGGCCATGCACCCCCCGCTGGCTGAGGTGAGTGCAGCTGGGAAATGAGGTTCCCCCAGTGCGGCCTCCGGGGGCTGGGGGCTGGGGGCTGGCCCTCAGGACAGGGAGCTCCTGCTCTCCAGGCGGGTGCAGTGCACCTGCCCCCGGGAGGGCGGGGGGGGGGGGGGGGCGGGTGTGGGCACCGGAGGCGCTGCGTGCGGTCCCGGGGAGGAATGCTCACCCGGATGAACTGCTGGAAGCGCTTGTCCCGGGCATACAGCTCCTTGTAGAGCTTTAAGGCCTTGGTGTGGCGGCTACAGAACTCCGAGTAGGTCTTGCGCATCTGCTCGGCGCTGGGACCGGAGAACTGGAAGTTGGGGGAGCAGGGCTGGATCAGCATATCCCCCATCGCCACCCTTACCCCTGGCTACTCTCTGGCCGCCAGCCAAACAGGCCGTCTTCCTGCCCCTCCAGTTCTCCCTGGCTCTACCCCCCAGAGCCGTGGTCGGCAAACCCATTCGTCCACAGCGCCAAATATCAACAGGACGACGACTGAAATTTCTTTTGAGAGCCAAAGTTTTTAAACTTAAACTTCTTCTTAACGCCACTTCTTCAACATAGACTCGCCCAGGCCACGGTGTTTTGTGGAAGAGCCACCCTCAAGGGGCCGAAGAGCCGCATGTGGCTTGAGAGCCGCAGTTTGCCAACCACAACTCTGGAGTTTGGAGGCAAGAAATGCCCTCTCTAGCCCTGGCCAGTATGGCTCAGGTGGTTGAACATCATCCTGTGTACCAAAAGGTCACCGGTTCGATTCCTGGTCAGAGCACATGCCCAGGTTGTGGGTTGGATCCCTGATTGGGGTGAGTATAGGAGGAAACCAATCCATGTTTCTCTCTCACATAGGTGTTTTTCTCCTTCTCCCTACCTCTCTCTCTAAAATCAAGAAAAACATATGTTTTTAAAAAAAATACATTTTATTGATTTTTTTACAGAGAGGAAGAAAGAGGGATAGAGAGCTAGAAACATCGATGGGAGAGAAACATCCATCAGCTGCCTCCTGCCCACCCCCCAATGGAGATGTGCCCCCAACCAAGGTACACGCCCTTGACCAGAATCGAACCTGGGACCTTTCAGTCCGCAAACCAATGCTCTATCCAATGAGCCAAACCGGTTTTGGCTGATCTCTCCTTTTTATCCCCACCCTCCCTTTGAGGTCCAACAGTCTGGCCCATGGCTCCTTATCTCTGGGTCTGTTCTTCAGTCTATCTCATATAGTATATTTTTTAAAAGCAATGCCCTCTCCCGTCCCCCGCCTTTTCTCACCTGGCTGATGAGCAGGTCCCCCAGGCGAGGGATGATGAAGTTGCGGGTGCTGCCCGGGCACAGGGCCTGCCGCCGGCGCTCCAGCAGCTGGCTGAGGAAGCGCGTGTGGATGTCGCTGAGCTCGTCCACGCAGGGGAACAGCCCCTGCACCGCGGCTGGCTCCAGCTGCAGCTCCTCCAGCATCCCCGTGCGGAAGAGGCGGGTCATGATCTTCAGCGTCCGCACGTGGTGCAGCTCCGTCCGGATGAGCTCTGTGTGGACAACGGAACATCGGGCCTCTCTCTACCTCGGCTCGGCCGCAGTCGGGGGGGCCTCGGTGGGGAGCCTCAGAGCGCCCCGTGAGGTTTGCAAAGTCCCTTCCAGGTCAATGTTCTGCATTCTTAGGATCTTAGGTCATTTTCTAACCATTTTTTAAAAAAAATATATTTTATTGATTTCTTACAGAGAGAAGGAGAGAGGGATAGAGAGCTAGAAATGTTAATGAGAGAGAAACATCGACCAGCTGCCTCCTGCACACCTCCCACTGGGGATGTGCCCGCAACCAATGTACATGCCCTTGACCGGAATCGAACCCGGGACCTTTCAGTCCGCAGACCGACGCTCTACCACTGAGCCAAACCGGTTTCGGCTCTAACCATTTTGTATCTTTACGATTGTCATCTCAAGTCGTAACCTGCTTTAGGGCAAGGACCCCGAATCTGTCTACACGTCCAGGTTTCCCACAGCCCCTCGCACGAAACAGGCCCAGAGGAAAGACTAAGAATTGACCAGCATAAAGGGATAGAGACAGAGCCTTGGGGACCAGCAGTCCCCAGTGGCCATCTGCGGGATGCCAGGCAGGGACTTGGAGACCAGGGGGGTAAGTGGGAAGACTTGAGAGGTGGGGATGGACGGGCAGAAGGACACCAGGAGACAGGACCCAGTGCAGGCAGAGAAGTCTCGGGGTGGTCTGGGCTCACCATAGATGACATCCTGCTGCTTCATCACCTCCTTTTTATGCTGCTGCAGGAAGCTGCTGTCCACAGCCAGGCTCCAGGAATCGGCCGCAAAGTCCTTCTCGTCCATCTCGAAGTCACTCATCAGCTCATTGTAGATGACCTCTGCCCCTGGACAAGAGGGGGCAGCCACTCAGAGCCCGTTCCCCAGACCAGGAACCTTCTCTAGCCCCTCCCGGCTCTGCCCCTCCGGCCCGCCGCCAGCCCCTCCTCCCCAGGCGCCCGGGCCCGCGCGGTCACCTTCGTCGATGAGGGACTCCACGGACAGGGTCCGGTTCCGCACGTTGAGGGAGTCGGTGGACTGGGAGAGGATCCGGCGCAGGCCCAGCGGGGACTCCTCGTTGAAGTGTCTGCGGGGGGCGCGGGGCGGCTGCGTCACCCCCCCTCCGGCCGGACCGCCCTTCCCAGGGGCGGGGCGAAGCCGGGCCCCCGAGGCCGTCACCCCGCGTCCTCCTTACCTGCCCCCTAATTCTGAACCCCGGGATGGCAAGGACCTCTCCGCCCGCCCGTCTCCACCGGCCCCGCCTCTGCCCACCGGCCCCTCCCCGAGCGGAGGCTCACCCAGCGATGTTGGTGGTGGACACGCTCTTGGCCAAGGACAAGGAGGAGCGGCCGCGGCGGGAGCCCAGCAGGGACTGCCGGAAGCTGTCGGAGGGGTAGATGGCGGAGCTCGGCCGCTCCCGCGTGGTGGCTGCGGAGGGACGCCGGGCGGGCAGCCGTCACGCGGCGCCTCCCCGGGACCGGGCCTCCCCGGCTCCTCCGCCAAAAGGCGGCCCCTCCCCCACCCACCCCGCGCCCACTCCGGTCCAAGCGAGACGCTAACGGTGACGCCGCCTTGGTGGGTGCGATCCTGTCAACCTACAAAGAGCTTTTCTTTGTCGTTTGTTTTCTTTTTAAATATATTTTATTGGCCGGGACCGGTTTGGCTCAATGGATAGAGCGTCGGCTTGGGGACTGAAGGGTCCCGGGTTCGATTCCGGTCAAGGGCATGTACCTGGGTTGCGGGCACATCCCCAGTAGGGGGTGTGCAAGAGGCAGCTGGTCAATGACTCTCTCTCATCGATGTTTCTAGCTCTCTATCTCTCTCCCTTCCTCTCTGTACAAAATCAATAATATATATATATATATATATATACACACACACATTTTTTTTTAAATATATTTTAACCCAGGTACATGCCCTTGACCGGAATCGAACCCGGGACCCTTCAGTCCCCAAGCCGATGCTATATCCATTGAGCCAAACCGGTTTCGGCGCTTTTCTTTGTCTTAACCCTTCCCCTCAGCATGCCTCTGAGCACCCTGGAGCTCAGAAAGGCCCTGGGTCCCGTCCGGGGTGACTCAGCCGGTGGGTGAGCAGGGACCCAGGCCTGACCGAGCCCCACGCTGCTTCCTGTCCCACCAGAGCCGTCTGAGGGAACCGTGTCAGCTGCCACCAACATCGAGTGCAGCGTCAATAACCACCGCAATAACACAGGGTGTGAGCGGGTGTGGAGGCCCAGCCATCCCCAGTCCCCACCCCCCGGGATCCTTCTGTCCGGCCCCCAAGCCCGAGAGTCCGGACAGCTCGCCGTCTGCTTCCCGTGAGAAAGGGGCTGCGCCAGGGAACACATTCGAGGGGGCAGCAGAGCCCGGGGCCCAGGGGGGTTCCTGAACCCCCTCACCACTCACCCTTACTGCGGAGGGACACGGACTGCAAGGCAGTGTTGTTCTTCAGCAGCGCGGCCTTCTGTTGCTGTGAGACAAGACGGCGAGAGAGAGCGAGAGAGAGAGAGAGAGAGAGAGAGAGAGACCCAGGACAGTGTCACCCACGCGGCACCCCCAGGGCACAGGGCAGGCGCTGGGCAGCTGGTCCCTCGGCAGAGAGCTGGTGGGACGGCTGGACGCATCGGGTGGCTGTGCCCAGGGCGGGGGAGCCAGGTCTACAGCCACAGGCCGGCCCGCTCCGGCCCGAGGCCTGGGCTGAGGGTCTGGGCCGCCCCACGGTGCGGAGAGGGGTTGACTGGGTAAGGGGGGGTGGGGGGTGGATGAAAAAGGGCACGAGGGCACCGCACACTCACTACCCTCTCCCCCAGCCCCGGCCTCCCTGCCGTCTCACCTTCTGCTTGACCTTGGTACAGTTGGCCAGGGTGTCTTTACAGCGGTTGTGGATAGTCACATTGCAGGCTGGGAGGGTGGGGTAAAGAGGGTGAAGGGAGGGCCCGGAGGTACAGGAGGGGGCACACCCATGTGCAGACACCCATCTCCCCGTGGCCACACAGCCCTGGAGACCGTCCTCGCTCCCCAGCCTTCTCAGCCATCACCGCGCCCCGGCCCCTCTCCTCCCACCACCTCCTTCCTCCTGCAGGAAATCCATGTCGGGGGACAGGTGTGGACCACAGCTAAGCAATCGGGGCGGCAGGCAATCCTGACTCAGAGGTGAGCTGAGGGGTGGGGCAGGGGGAGGAAGGGGGTGCTGGCTGCCACAGACGGGTTCGAGAAGCACAGAGGTGGTGCAGAGTGACAGATGGGAGGGAGGACGCCCACGGAAGCGGAGACGGCACAGGAGCAGCTGGGACGGGGACCAGGGGCCGAGGGGAGACATGAACATTCCCTGAGCGTCCAGCCCACGCCCCGGCTTTCGGTGGTCCCGGCAGCCCTCTGCGGCGGACTCCGTTACCCCTGCTTCCCGGATGAGGAACCTGGCTAACGAGGGCGGGTCACCTGCCAGAGCTCACACAGCTGCAGGGAGAGCTGGGATCTCATCTCAGGGGTGGCTGAGCCCCAAAGCCGAGCTCTTTCCCGGGGGCCACACGCCTGCCCATGAGCTCTGGGCCAGGCCCACGCAGTGCCAGGGCCGCTGGACCCAGGGGCAGCGTGGGGCTGGGCCCAGCCCTGGCCTCCCCTCCACGGCTTGCCTCTGCACTGCCAGCTCTGCACGCTCTGCCTCCAGCCAATCCTGTCCTTAACTCAGGGCGCTCACCCTGCACCTGCCTCTCCCCGACACCCACCCGCACGCCTCGCCGTGGGGCGGGAGGGGAAGGAACGGAAGCACAGCCCAGCCTCGCGCTGGAGCCACTGGCTGACCCTTTCCCCCGAGTGCCCTCAGCCCTCAGCCCGTTCCGTTCCTCTGCAGCTTCCCCTCCTCCATGCAGCAACACCGGAAACTCTGCTAACTCCTCAGACAATGCCCAGCACCAGGCTCACTTCCACAAATACAAGGCAAGCCGGGCGGGGCGGGGGGGGGGGGCGGGGGGCAACAGGAGTGGGGGCAGGGGCCGCCCCCACCCTCCAGGAGCTCCCTTCTCCCGTATCCCCGGCACCCAGTGTCGCTGGAGCGAACCTCCGCTTTCCACCTGCTCCCAAAATAGTACTTGCAGGCTGCCCGCCTCGCCAGTTCCCCTGGCAACGAGCTCTGGATTGGGAATTCTGTCAGGTCTCCAGCGGGATTAAGATCGGGGTTCCCTCCTCATCCTCACACCCCGAAGGGGAGCACCGAGGACATAGTGGTCCTTTCTGGGGTTCCCTCCCCAGCTCCTTAGGGATTTGGGGCTACAGCCATTGTCCCACGAACCAGCAGCAGGTCCCCGTACCTCAGGCCTGCTCTGATCACAAGCAGCGTTTTGCCATAAATTGGGGTGGCGGGGGGGGGGGGGGAAGCAGGGCAGGAGCCCTCTGGCTAGGCATTCTGGAGAAGGAAGAATTACACTTCCTAAATCCAGGGCTCCCTTCAGATGGAGGTGGAAGCCAGGACTTCCCAGCCTCACCCCCCAAAACACACCCATCCTTGCTGTGTGCCCTCCTGCCACCGTGCAGTCAGTCAGACCAGAATGCGGGACAGAGGGTCCTAAGCCCACCTTCTGCTTCAAGAGCGTTCAGGCCCCACCCACAGTGGACAGAAAGGGAGTGGCAAGCCCCCCCCCCCCCCCGAGTCCTGAGAGTCCGGCTCTGCCCAGAAGACGGGCAGAGCCAGCTGCAAGTCCAGGAGCTTGCCACCGAGCTCTCCCGCCTGCCCCCACCTGCCCTCACACGCATTCCTGCCCCTTCTCCAACCAGCCCCCAGCTGCTGAGGGAGCCGGGGACACCCCGAGGGTGACAGCTGCACCGGGCGCCATCCTCGTCTCCCCTCCCCCACGTTCCCAGAGAGCCCCTGCTGGTGCCACCGTCCGACTGCCACCACCCCTGCCGCTGCCCCTGCCCCTGCCGCAGCCACCGCCCCTCGGAGGGAGGAAAGGGAGCGGGGAGCAAGCGTCCGGCCCTGGCGTAGGGACCCCGCCGGGGCCCTGCGAGGGGAGCGACCCCGATGGGCCCGGGCAGACAGACAGAGGGACAGACGCGCGTCGGTGTGGCACTCAGGGCCCAGCTTACTCGGGCAGATGAGGGCCTCCTTGGCCGTGATGCTCTTGTTGCAGGCGTAGCACATGGTCATGCCCGAGACGGAGATGGTGGTGAAGAGGTGCCCATTGGTGTAGCGGGCATCCTTGGCTTCCTTCATCTTCTCCTTCTCCCGGGCCTGTGGAGGGAAGGGGAGACACACACTAGGGGAGGCTGGAAAAGGCCAGCGTGCCGGCGAGTCCGGAGAGACTGGGGGGGGGGGGGGCAGTCCTGCCTGTGGTGCCGGAAAGACACGGCGGAGCCTCTGAGGCTCCCCGGGCACAGCCAGCCAGCCCCGGGGACCGCGCCGGCCGGACCGACCTGGCCCCTGCGGCTCGGCTGCCTCCGGTTGCCACTCATCTCCCCGGTCTGGACCTCGGCGTCCTCACTCCACCTTCCAGCCCCAGCTCCACTCGCCCCCTCGCTGCCTGCCGCGCGCCCGTCTCTGTGCCAGAGGAGTGTGCGCAGAGAGGAGGGGAGAGCGGGCGCAGCAGAGGATGCCAGCTCACCAGCGCTCAGATCTATGGGCGTTCGCTCCTCTTATAACCATGACAACCGGTGCTGGGGTGGCTGTCTCTGTGGCAGTCACAGGGGGGGATGGGGGAGATCCCCTTATTGGATGGGCTGGGGGTGGGGGGCAGAGTCAGGGCCCCACACCTCTGACTCTTCCACACACACACTCAGCGGAGGACACTGGCCCGGAGGCAGGAGGCAGGAGGCAGCAGGCAGCGTGCTCTCCGCTAACCCTGAGGGAGGAGGAGCCTGGTTTTGGCCTTGGGTCCCTCCTCCCCTCGCTCTAAGGAAGGAAACTGGGCCGGCGAGGTGTCATTCCTGGCAGGAAGTCTCTCCTGCAGGCTAACTTTTATCTTTCTCCTACAACCCTCCCACACCCAAGGTGGTCCCTCTATTCCTCCTCCTCACCCCATTCGTCTCTCCCATCCCAGGAAGCTCCTCCTGACATCTGCCCTCCGTCCTCCGTCCTCCGGCTGTAACATCCGTCCTCCCGGCGTCCTCCCGGCTCCGGGCTCCCCTGACAGGGGGCACCCTGTGAGCCCCCCCTCAGAACCTCAGAGGCTGGCTGTTCCCATGTCTGCTCTCTCCGCCCACTCCCCGCTGACCTCTGACCCCCTTTTCTGACCCCCTCAAGCCACTGAGCCTCCAGAAAGCCTGAGAAGGCGAGGAGATGGGACCCCACCCTTCCCACCTGCCCTGGGGCCTTCTGCAGCGGCCACTCTGGGAGGAAGGAGAGCAGACGGGGGAGCCAGGGCCTCCCTCTGCTTCCAGGCCCCTCAGAGCCCAGTGCATTGTCTGCTGGAGCCTAGTGAGCCCCACGTTGGAGGACAGCGGAGGGAGAGGGGAGGGGGGGCTGGGGCAGAGAATGAGCTCAGGCAGAGCCCTGGGGCTGGACCTTAGGCCTGAGCCTGAGCCTGAGCCCGGACAACACTCCCTGCTCCGGCCACACCAGCAGCGAAGCGGTGGGGGAGGGGCAGAGACGCCCTGATCTGGTGCTCAGGGGAGAAACGGGAAGTGTGGACGGGCTGAGTCAACACCACAGGGGCCAGGGGGCACTGGGCCACAATGCCCTAGCATGTCTCCAGACTTCCTGGTGGCCCGGATCCTTCTCTCTCCTGCCGCCCTTCAGAGCTCCAGGTCTGTCTGATGGGCAGACCCCAGAGGTCTTAAGGTCACTTCCTGCCCAGATCTTCCATTTTCCTTTGCTCCTCTCCTCTCCTCCTCCTCTTTCTTCTCTTCCCGTCTCCAGGTCTCCTTTCCATCCCATGCCCTCACCCCTCCTCTCTCTTATCCTGGCTTCTCCTCCACTGGCCCTGCCACCCCCTCACCTCCTCCTCCACGTAAGCCAGGGTCTCCTCTCTAACTCCAGCCTCCAAGGTGCCAGGTCTCCCTTTCTCTATCCTGGAACCCACCTACCAGGACCACTAGAAAGTTCTCCCTGTGCTCTAACCTCCAGCTGCCTGCTCCACGGAAGATAAAAGCCTCCACCTTGTAGGACCTCGAAGATCAAGCCCAAAATGTCTTTCTCACCGTCATACACTCCATTCTCTCCCCCTTCCCTGCCCTCCCAGGCTGCTTCTCTGTGACACAAACAGAAAGTCTGAGCACTTGCTATGTCTGACTTAAAAGCAAGCAAGCAATATTGAATGTCAATTGTAATTGAAATGTTTTTCATAAAAGCTAGCAAGAAATGAACATTAAAAAGAGCAACATGTCTAAATCAAGTCAATTCCAGAACAGGCAACGGTACAGATCTGCCCCAATGACGCCACCGCTCTCCCTCCCCTCACCAGAGTGTCCTCCCCTCTTATGCCTCTGGGAGCACTCCCCGGGAAGGAGGTGGGAGGAGGAGAGAGGGGACTGTGGCTGCCAGAGAATGGGGTCTCTAGTGACCCACCCTCTTGGGCATCAGCGCCCCGGAGACAACCCAGGCTCCTTCGTGACCTCCCAATACTCACCCTCTCTCCGAGTGGCCCTCTCTCTAGGTGTGCCAGCAGCGGGCAGCAGCCACAGCAACAGCACATCCCAGCATGGGCGCTGCCCTGCAGCAGGCGGCCCTGGCACTGCCTAGCGCTATTGTCCGGGAGCAGACTCTGCCCGCCCCGGGGCTGAGGCTGGTGAGGATGGGAGGACACAGGGCCTGCTCACCAGGGGAGCCTGCTCCAGAGAGGAGGGAGCCGTTTGCTGGGTTCTCTGTCCTCTCTTCCAGGTGTTCTTCCGATCATCACCCTGGTCTCCCATGTACCCACCCCACCCCCCGGCAGGCAGCCCCTCACCTCCACACCCCATTCTGTCCGCCAGGAAAAGGGCCCCTCCCTCCATAATTGCCAACACCCACCGCCAACACTCAGAGACCCCTCCTGCTTGACTCCGTGCTCTGCTGCCCCGTATCCAGAGTCATTCTTTCTCCTAAGCCCACACGGGAAGTCTTTCTTTCTTAATCTATTTTATTGATTTTTTTTTACAGAGAGGAAGGGAAAGAGATAGAGAGCTAAAAACGTCGATGAGAAACATCAATCAGCTGCCTCCTGCACACCCCCTACTGGGGGTGTGCTCGCAACCAAGGTACATGCCCTTGACCGGAATCAAACCCGGGACCTTTCAGTCCACAGGCCGACGCTCTATCCACTGAGCCAAACCGGTTTCGGCAGGGGAAGTCTTTCTTGCTAGACAGCCTTCAACTACACCGCTGCTATCAAGGACCGAGTGAATAAAGCACCCAACACAACGGCTGTATACAACAGGCACTCAATACATGTTTGGAAAGAAGGAAAGGAAGGAAGGATGGCCGGACGGACGGACACCAAGACAAAGGGTCCCCGCAACACCCTCACCCCTGCTCTAGGGGCCCTCCATCCTTGCCAGAGGTTCAAACCCTCCAGGCTCCTCTCCTCCTCTCTCTTCCTGGAAGGCTCCCAGCTCTTCTCTCCTCTTATTTCCTCGGAACTTACAGACTTAGAGCCCAGAAGGCCAGCCCAGCCCTTCCTTCCCTGTCACCCCAAATCCTGGTCACTTTGTGGGGGGAGAAGAGACAAGGGGAATAGCGGAGGGCATTGTGGCTGGTTGCCCCAAAACTCAAAGGCAGCAGCTGTCTCCCCGTTTCTCTGCCTCTGCCTCCCGTGAGAGGAGAGGAAAACAGTGACGTCCGTGAAGGACAAGGCAGAGCCAGAGTCTGGGCCTCGGCTTCCTGTGCTCCCCATGCTCCCCGCGGGCAGCAGGGGCTGGCTGGAGGCCCTCCAAGGCCACGCCTCAGCCTCAGCCGTCCTCCATCGGGCACATCCAAACCAGGAGCTCCGGGGAGTCACGTGGCACTCAGAACCACCTCTGCCCCTTCCCCAGACGGCGAGGCCTCTACCCAGGCCCGCTGTACGGGACCCTGGAGGACGCCTCTGGGACTGGAGGCCTCTGTGGTTCGACCCCTAGCCAGCAAGGGTGCAGCGTCAGAGGCTGCGAAGGGCAGTGAGTCATGGGAATGAGCTATAGGGCTGGGAGATGAGACAGGGGGTTCCAGGCCAAGGGACCGAGGAGAGAGCCTGGGATGGTCTCAGCCAGGCTCTGTCCCTTCACGACTTTCCAGGGACAAGATAGAGGAGGCCGAGGAGAAGGCAGTGGACGGAAACACTAACGCCAACGCCGGTTGTTAGCACAGCAAGATATCACTGCGTACACAGAGGCGCTTAATAAATGCTTGCTTGGCGAATGAGGACCAAACACTGGACAATGGGGGCGGGCACACTAGGGGAGCCAAAGAGGGGTGTGAAGGGTCATGGGGAACAAAGCCAAGGCGGAGACCCTGAGACCCAGACATCCTGGACCCCCGCCCGCCGCCCGGCCACACCTGTCGGTCAGAGAGAAGCCGCGGAGGGAGGGGGAGCGATGCAGACAGACGGGCATTTGTGAAGCGAACAATACTGTGCCAGGACTCCCTGCCCTCCTGGCACAGGGCAGGCTGGTGGGGCCGGGAGGGGGCAGCTGCTGCCTGCAGGCCCCTCCCCCACGGAGCTACAAACACACCCCAGAGGTCCAGGCGGCTCCTCTCACTCATTTCTCTTTATCAGCCCCAGAACCCTCACCAATCTGCTCACCAGGCTGAAGCTAAGAACGGAAAAGCTTCCTCAAGTCCAGGGCACGAGCCTCCTACCCCGGTGACCACGTTCAAAGCAGTAAACCAGAGCATGTGGGGGACACACAGACAGACAGACACGTACACAGACAGACACGTACACAGACAGACACGTACATAGGCCAATACAGGCCACCTACATGCGTGGGACTCACACATTCTCATCTGACCCTTCCCTGACTCCAAGGTCGGGATCCAGAGAAGCAGCGGGACTGAGGTCAGAGAGATCAGAAGCCCCAGCAGAGTCTTCTCTCACCCAACTCCCCTGCCGTCCCGTGACTTCCCTAAGCTTCCCGCTCCCTTCCCCCATCTTCCCCTCCCCCTCCGCTCCTTCCCTAACCTAGAATCTTTACCAAGCCCCCAAAAGCTTCTGCCTCCTGGGGATCCCCGACTCTTCAACATCTCCCCCAAACTGCCACCAGCCTCAGCGCCCTCCTGGGCTCCCCCAGCCCTCCTCCGCGGCTCCTCCCCCGCACACAAAGCAGCCACCTCTCCGCTCTTCA